ACACACACACACACACACACACACACACACACACACACACACACACACACACACAGTTGCTCATGTCACCAGTTTTGGCTCAGTTTTCTGTCTCTCTGAGAGCATCCTGACAATGAAATATGAATCCTTAATTTAATTTAGTCGTCATCTGTTCATGTTTATTTGAAGGAAAAATCCGTTTCTGTATCTGAACTAAAGGCTTATTCAGGAGCTGCACAAACATTATTGATTCAATCAGCAGGGATGAGTGGAAGCCTTGGTCCGATGATGAATTTGTCTAAGAATTGACGGATGAACCTGAGAATAAGTTCAGTTTGCACCTCCATTACACTCAGTTTAGTTCAGTTCATTCTTAGTTTTTTTTAAACTTTTGTTCATTTTTACGGAAGAGCATAGCATTCACCTAATAAAAAAATATTTGAGTCCTGATCTCATAATTACGAGATCAGGATCTCAGAATTATGACATCTTATCTCGTAATTTTGAGATCTTTTCTCATAATTAAGAGAGATTTTCTCAAAATAATGAGATCAGGGTCTCGTAATTATGACATCTTATCTCATAATTATGAGATCTTTTCTCGTAATTATGAGATAAAATCTCGTAATTATGAGATGAAATCTCGTAATTATGAGATGAAATCTCATAATTATGAGATCCTGATCTCGTAATTATGACATCAGGAGTCATATTTTTTTATTTGGTGAATGCAATGCTCTTCCGTACATTTTTGCCACATCATGCACTTTTATTCTCAGTAAAACCTGCAGCAGCGTCATCTATTTCTGTAGCAGCTTGATCAAACGGCAACAACCAGAATCAGTTCACAGCTGGAAGGACAGGGAAAGCCAAAGAGGCAGGAGGGCTGTGTGTTWCTGAGACAAACAGGAAGCAGAATTATTGGCTCAGTGTTTGTGTGAAAACATTATGTCTCGCTGTGAGATGAAAGGAGGTAAGCAGAATACGAGCTGCCGGGCAGCGGCAGCGGCTAATTGAAGCCGCCTCTCATGAGGCCTGACGACACGAGGACGTTTTGTGTGTCCAGGTGGTCCTGCAGATGGTCGGCTCGTCCCCGGAGACCAGCTCGTGAAGATCAATAACGTCTCTGTCGATGACCTGACCCCGGAGCAGGCTGCTGAGATCATCAGGTCTACACACACACACACACACACACACACACACACACACACACACAC